AATCTCAGTCACTCAGTACTTGATGGAGCCCATTAACCACTGGCCTATTCCTTTAGAACAGGACTCATACGTGGTATTATAGCCTCCCAATAGCTTCAAAGATTACATCCCTTCCCCATACCTCCACTCCTCTTCTCTATGAGCGCGCACGCGAACACACACCAGTCCAACATTATTGAAATTTGCTTTAATGGGTTAGATTCAGACTTAGCCAGATAGTGACCTGGTTCACCCAAAGAGGTTCTTTTGAGGGTTTCAGATCACACAACAAACCATGGGAAACCCCTGCCAGGGACTGAATATTCAAGATGGCCACCAGCAGACATCACAACCACGGCAAACTGTGATTATGTTAGTCATCTGTTAGGGTAGACCCACCAACATTAATAGGGCCTCTCTATGTCCTCACTCTCCTGGCAAATAGATGGGGAAGAAATGGAGGTAGTGACAGATTTTATTTTCCTGGGCTCCAAGATCACTGCAGATGGGGACTGCAGCCAAGAAATTAAAAGACGCTTGCTCCTGGGGAGGAAAGCTATGGCAAATCTAGACAGCATACTAAAAAGCAGAGACATCACCCTGCCGACGAAAGTGCGTATAGTCAAGGCTATGGTTTTCCCAGTTGCAATGTATGGCTGTGAAAGCTGGACCATAAGGAAGGCTGAGCGCAAAAGGATTGAGGCCTTTGAATTGTGGTGCTGGAGGAGACTCCTGCGAGTCCCTTGGAACGCAAGGTGATCAAACCGGTCAGTTCTAGAGGAGATCAACCCTGACTGCTCTTTAGAAGGCCAGATGCTGAAGATGAAACTCAAATACTTTGGCCACCTAATGAGAAGGAAGGACTCCCTGGAGAAGAGCCTAATGCTGGGAACAATAGATGGCAAAAGAAGAAGGGGACGGCAGAGGATGAGGTGGCTAGATGGAGTCACTGAGGCAGTTGGTGTGAGCTTAGGTGGATTCCGGGAGATAGTGGAGGACAGGAAGGCCTGGAGGAGCGTTGTCCACGGGGTTGTGATGGGTTGGACATGACTTCGCGACTAACAACAACAACAATGTCCTGACTCGAACCCACTAAATATATCCAGAAATGTAACTGTATTAAAATATCAACTAGAATAGAGTCAAGAGTGAGAATTGTCTTATCAACCAGGAACAACATTTCCATTTTTTATAATTAAAAATAATCTTAATTTTATATCACATCACAGTCTATGGTTTCAGGCCTAAAACCAAATATGACTGCAGTCCATCCATCTAACCCTCCATTGACTGTGGAAAACCCTTGCAGTTGAAAAGCACTCCACAAGTGCATCACAGATCCTGGATTTTAACTGCTACTGTATAGGACCAACCATTGCTGCCTCTTACAGATGTTCCTAACTGCAAACATCTTGACTGAACCACAGAATTCAGTTATATTTACAAAGAATTTCATTTTATTTTTATATTCAAGATCATAACCTCAGACTTACATGACAATGAAACTATCTACACAATACTTCCAGTTAGTGGATATAACACTGTGAACACAGACCAATACTAGAGTAAGCATATCTAAGACTAAATTTTAATTGATCTAAAGTAATAACGTTTAATTCAGCTTATATTACAAGTCAACTTACAGTGGAATAGTGACTGATGGCAGCAGAGTAACTATTCATACAACCAAAAGAAAATGGGAAAGCATAAATTCAATATATTATAAAATGGGCTATATAAATTTTAAAAATAACATATATAAATAATGCAACACTGATATCTGATTACTCTACCCACTTTAAAATATACAACAGGTTTGCCCAGCTTGTGATCTGAATGCAGCCCTTCAGCCAAGTATTTGGACTACCAAGTGTTTAGCAAGATCATGTATGAAGTCCTAAAGAGGCAAGAAAGACATGAGGGTTATCAAGCTATGCATCCTATACTACACACATAGTTCTGAGCTGCCTCCAGCTTGATGGGTCTCAAGAGGTACAGGCAGAGATAAATACAACATCCATTATCCCGTAAGACACATACATGTGCTCACTAAAATTAAGGAAAAATTCTAAGGAATAATTAGAAATATGTGCATTATTTCTGTAATATTTGCACTATTTTACCCATAGAAACTATGTTATTCCACTCCGCATTATTCAGTGATTTTTTGTGAGGAAATGCTAGTTTTTCTTGGCTTTTTCGAGAAGAAATATTTCTTCTATAGCAGAAAAGTCACACAAAAAGTGATGCAAACTCTACAGTGGTAAGACTCACGTGGACAAGGAATTTAGTAAAAAAAAGTGCACTCCTTAGAGAAGAATCTATATTCCTGCTAGTCTTCTATATTCTTACACCAATCCTTCCAGTCCATTACTGAAGGAACTTAAGAATTTGTTCAACTTAATTGCTGAGTATGACTATATGAACAAACTGCTGTTGTATTGTAACCAATGACATACTGAGAACTCCACATTGCAGATCACAGGGGAAGAAGGCAACAAGTAAAATGCCAAGAATTCGTGCTTGTGTAAAACACCCCCTCACACAAAAAACACCTAATGTGAGTGTGTGCATAAACTTTAGCTCCCAAATGCCTTCCTTATGCCTTGTGCCTTACTGAAGTGATAACATCATTGGACAACATAAGCACTCAAGAACTGCTCTTTCCCAAGATTGCTTGCATGCTGCAATGAAACTATACAACAAGAACACTTAAATAGGAATCGTTTAACATGCAAGCAGATCCAAAGATTAGCTTGAAATGTAATGTAGGAACAAGCAAGTTCTTTATTTTTCATTAACCATTTCCAGCTTACTGATCAAGAGTTTTAGGATTTACACTATCCACATTGCTCACATAAGAAACCACTAGCATGTGACAAAAAATATGAAATGCTTCTGTAAAAAAAAGTACTTAAAGTACCTATTCAAAGAGAATGTACTTAATATATCTCAGCATAATTTACTGCTATGGCCATGTGCCCTTGCAGTCAGCTTTCATAGCACAGAAATTGTTGCTGCTTCTTTAGATCAAGTGTGTTTAAACTATCCAATCACTCTTACTGCAACATCAATGAGAAACTACCTTTCCTCTGAGGTGGTAAGTCATTGTGCATCTTCACTAGTCACTGTTTTGAGCCCGCTTGTTTCCAGTCAGGTAACAAGTCCAGATCAGCATCCCTAAGGCCCAGATCACAGCATACTTAACATACCTATTATGTGCCAGTTGCAAACCAGCTGACCTGCATAAGAACCCACACAGGACATGACTTCTTGTGTTATCTAATCCCAGAAAGGATGGCTTACTGGAGTGGTTAACAAGTGTTGTTGGGTAGGGAACAAAGTACCGTACAAGTCACCTTCAGAAAGTGTGGATGAAAGCAGCAGCAGCTTGGATCAGCAAGCTAGTGTTCCAAGGATACCACAACCTACCATGGTTTATCAGCCACAGTGGGCTGTGTTGATCACATAAACCAGGCCAAAGAAATACAGAGTTTAACTTAGTAAGTTTCTCATAAATGGAGGCCTTTGAGCCAACAGATCTTTTCTGCTAACTCAACAGGGGATGTGCCATCTTTAAGCAATCCCTCACCCACCCACCCCAGTCTTTGATGTTCCCACAATTGCTCCAGTGAGCCTGGAAGTCCTCTAGAACAGCAGAAGAGTGGCTTCACAGGGAAGGGGAAACAGTGAAAATTGCCTCCCCCCCCCCAGTCCTTTCTGCTAGTGCAGAAACTCTAAATAAAATTCTACTTGGAGATCTTCCTGCCAGATCTAAACCATAAGACGGACAAGTCAAAGTGGAAAATTATTATTCCAATAAGCTATAAAAAGTATAGTTTTATGCTTCCAAGAATGATGCACAATTAATTTTAGTTCAGGAAAAAACATGTCTTCATTATGAGGGGTTCAGAAATACTGATTTAAGTTAATCTAGACAAAGTGTCTAGAGTAGTCTGAATTCATGAGTGACTATCCCACAGATTTTCACACATGCTCTGCTTCACAAGCAGAAATGGGAGCAGTGATGGAGAAGGCATCATTCTTACTCTTTGATAGTTTCCTAATCTAGAATGTGTGTGTGTGTGAGTGGGGGGGAGTAGAGAGAAACAATTAAAATGCTTTTAATATCCAAATTAAGACAGTACAGAAAATCCAGTCAAGATATCTGCATGACTCTTCTGGTTTGAGCTAACTTTTAAAGCAGATGTTCCTTCAGAATATAAACAAACTACACAAATCCTCACCTGAAACTGAAAAGCAGAACCAGTTATAGGAGAGCAGAGAAAAGCATTCTCCAGCAAAAGTGATATATAAGTGCAGGATAGCGACCATAAAATAGCTCAACAGTCCACAAAGTTGTCATTGTCAAGCAAACATCCATTTAAAACTAGCATTCTGCTCTGAAATTACACACTGCCGGAACTCAGACAGAAAGAGCTGATTAGATACACAGGCACTGCTGTGGCTGACTGACACTGTGACTAACAAACAGCTTTTATTTGTGCATGTTCTGAGCAAAAGAACGGATTTCAGGAAGTTGTAGGGCTTTCACAAAAAAAACTGCTTACAGTTGCTCAATAACTGCTCAGCCCTATTGTGTATGTGAAGAACTACATGGAATACAGCGCCCCCATCTCCTACAGGCCTGGCTGGCTCCAGCAAGCGCTTTCTACTCAAGTCTACTCGCTCCTCCCCTCCCTGCCTCCTGCTCTCTCTGCACAACATCCATGACGTACCTTTATTTCTAGCACAGTGACTCTAGGGCTCTCGCATTAGTGGGATTATTATTATTTACCCAAACTCTAGGACCCCAGACAGACGACTTCCGAGGCAGCACCTGCTACCCTAACCCAACATCCCTTGCACGCTTACTAGTAGAAATCTGGAGTTTAAATTCGGTCTTTATTTTTTTTTTAAGTTGTTAAAAAAAATTGCGGGAAATTCAATTTTTAAAGGGCTGCTCGCAAACTTTCTCTAGCACACCACATCGCAACACGCCGACCGGCCGCTTCTCTTACTAGGCTCTCGTAGCTCCTGGGATGCTCCTTTCCCGTCCAGTCCGTGCGCTTGGGCAGCAGCTGGGGGAAGAAAGAAACATCCCCCCCGTCACTAAAGGCAGCCCCCTCCTCCCAGAAGACTCCCCAGGAGCGCCCGCCCGCCCGGGATGGGGGAGGAGGAGGCGAGGCCGCCGCAGCCGCCGGCGCTGAGGCAGGCGGGCGGGCGAAAGGAGGAGCGCGCTGAATGCGCTGCACCACTTACCTCCTTCTCGGCTACTTCTCGGATCAGGACCTGCAGCAGCAACAAAAAGGGAGCAAAGACGGTCAGGGAAAGCGCAGCCGAAGCGAGAGAAGCACCCCCACCCGCAGGCCCAGCCCCGGCTCCAGCCCTTACCTGAGCCGCTTGCTGGCAAGGTCCGTTCTCGAGAAAACGGGCGATGAGGAAATAGAGCTCTGCAGGAAAAGGGGGGGGGGAGAAAGAGAGAGAGACACGCACCGTGAGGAGAAGGAGGAGCGGACTAGGCGGGCGGCGAGGCGGCCTTGAAGGCAGCGGCCCGGCCCGGCCCGGCTTCCACTTACCCGCTCGTAGCTCCGCGGTGTGCCTGCCGCTGCTGTTGCCGCCGCCGTCCCCGGACATGGCGAGCAGAGGAGCTCGGCTTGCTCAGGCCGAGCTCCCCGGCGGCGGGGCCTGCGAGCTGAAACGCGCGCTCCCCCAGTAGCTGTCACTGTTTGTTCGGCAGCAGCGAGAGTCTGAGCTCCACCATTCAAGCTCCGGGCAGGAGGAGGAAACAACAACTCAGAGCAAAACCCGCCGCCGCCGCCGCCGCCGCCAGCCCAGCGCTGCTACTGCCGCGGCTCCAGCCAGCCAGCCAGCCAGCCACAGCGCAATCGAGTGAGATCCCTCCGCCGAAACAAAGAGTCCCACCCCCTCCCTCCGGGCACGCACACCCCCTCGCTGCCTTTCTCCAAGTCGCCCACCCCGGGCTGAGTTTAGCTTAGCCTCGCCACCGCTCCCGCCCGGAGGAGTCCCGGCTACCGCTCCTCAGTAGAGCGGGGCGGGAGGGACGAGCGAGCTACGGGCTGGAAAGCAGAGGGAAGAAGATGTCGGAGCAGCAGAGGCGGGGTGCACGGGTGGGCGGGCAGCTTGGCTGAAAGGCGCTTTCTCTGTGAAGGGCTGGGAGGCCCAGGCGGAGGGATACGACGCACGGGGAAGGGGGAGGGGGCGAGCAGGAGGGAGGCCCTTGGCGGTGGTGGCGCTGGAGTTGCTCAGTTTCAATGTAGCCGAAATAGGAACCAAATGAGGCAAAAATGCCCCCGGGGACCGTAGGCCCCACTGGGCGAGGCGGGCATGAGAGGCTTCTCCTGGCCCTCGCTATCAGGGCCTTTTGGAAAAGGGGGAGGGGAAGGGTGGAAGGGGGCTCCCGTGTCCTGCAAGGCTCTGTTTCATGTCCCTCCTTGTCGCCTTTAAATGCTACAGATTTCCTTCTGCTTGTAAGTTACCATGTCATGCGTTATTTTTTTTCTAAGTGAGTGTAACTCATTATGGGTGGGAGAGTGTGTGAGTGCGAAATAAAATGTCCGTTTTTACAAAGCTCTTCATACGCCTTGTTTATAGCATTTCCTTTGTTATTGCTTCCTTTTAGTTAGGGTGAGTAATAATATCCTGGCATTATTAACCGTTCTTTATTCTTAATAATTTTAATTTTAACATTGGCATTCGTCCTGGTTGCTGTTAGTGAGACACGGTGGATTGTTTTGTTTTCTGTTTTTTTCCCCTTTTTTGTAAGAGCAGTATTATGAAAGCGGACAAGCAAGAAGGATGGAAATGGATACGAGGATGGCTGGAGTGGAGGTAATTTATAGCTGGATCGATAACTTACAGAAGGGTTATCAGCAAAAGGACAATTAATGGCTACATTTACATTTTATATTTCATAGTATGTGTGGGTAATCAGCAGCGTGCAACCTGCCTAAATTGTCCTGTTTGTATCCTTGTAGAAAACATTTCCAAAGACATCATATTGTATTGGCTGTGTTCTGCCACATTAAATGCTGCTTAAACATCGATTCTGTAATATACTGATGTTTGGAGATTGAAAGTTAGGCATAGAAAAATGACCTATTTCCAAGAAAAATGATATGTTGCCCTTTAGGTAACTATTACAAATTGGTTGAAATCTGCTCACCAGACAATGCTACGGTTAATATGTAAGAGATAGTAAACTAGGTTAAAATTATTTTTCTTCTGGTCAGAAAAGTTATAGCTTTACTGAAACAAACTATAGAGGACTTTGTAACTCACTAATTCTGTGATAAATTATGGTAGTTTAAATTGTGTTTATGGTATTTATGAAGTTATAGGTAAAGTTATCCAGGCCTGAGCCCAGAGAAGGAAAAAAGATTGCATGGATGCTGGGTTTTTAAGCCTAAATAGGAATTGTTATAGTAAAAGCAATCACTGCAATAATCTTTCAGCTTCATTGTATCACAGAGTCCATTACATGTACAATATTTGTGGGAAATTAATACAATTATATAAAGCCAATTCAGTACAACTTGGAGTTATATCTGGAATAGGAAACATTCCATCCAGAGGGAACAACTGTTATTTGGTGATTCACAGCTTAACATATTAATATGGAATTAATTTAAGTTACATAAATGTTAAATGTTGTGTTTTTGTTTTTACTGGCTTGTATATATTGGCAACCTCACTGTGACTATCATTCTTGTACTATTTTTCCTGGCCTTCTGAACTTTAAATTTGCATACTATAAAATGTTACAAAGATTTTAATTTAATTGCTCTTTTAAATAAAGTATCATTTTTAATTACTGTGCAACTTTTATTTAAGATGTTGAGAATTAAGAACATGAATAGTGACTCATAAGCAGTGATAATAAAGTCTGAAAGTTTATCCTTCTATTCTTACAATTGCTTATGCGTGCATAATAGATAAAGGTTTTTATTGAATTATGACCATGTATTTATATAGAATCTATTTTATTACTTAAAGTGAGAGGATTCTGTGTTTTCACTTAAAGAGAGATTCTTGTGAGCACAATAGCTTCCTTTTAAAATTGCACAATAATTTTGTTGATGACTGAATTCAAAAACAAACAGATACTTCCATTTCTGTTTTCAAAATATAATTCACTAAATGCACATGAAGAGGATGCAGTTCTTTCATTTTAAAATTGTTGCTCTGCAATAACGTCATTGACTTTGTTTTGCATGCAAGATGCTCTCCATTTTTCTACAGAAGGCTTAGAGTTATTGGAATATTGTACATTTCAAACTAAGGGTGTTGGGGTTGGTTTAATTATAATCATTGCTTCATTAGCTTATTTTCAAGGATATTTTATCAATGTATTATGTTTAAACCAGTAGATGTTCCTGGTTTCTTCTCAAGGAAAAGCGATTTCTGAATTTTGCACACTGTCTCAAGAAGTATATTTTGAAATTCCTATAGTTGTGTCAACTTAGATTATCCTTATTTTAGTTCCACTGTGTCATTGTGATGTAATGGTTCTTTGTGAATCACTTATGTTACAATGAAACATGGCTTACACAAATAATATTACCCCTTTCAGGTTAAAATAGTTCTTCAAAATATATACAAGTCATTTATTCTTATAATAATTTTATGGTTTTCTTCAAAATCGTATTCTACTTGCAACATGTAACTTGCAGCATATAGCTTTCATTTGGATTTCAGAAGATGAATGGTTGACATTTCTTTCATTACCATAGGGTAGTTGAAACTTAGAAAGATCACTTCTCTCCCTCCACCCACCCCCACACTCATGGTGGGGGTAACAACATATTCTACAGAGAAATTGGATGTTTTTTAATAGTGATTTATGGAATGGTTTTCTCCTTTTAGAAATGAGAAATACTATTTATCTAATAAAAATAGCATTTGCTATTGTTAGATACATTTAGTTTTCAATAATTTGTATATTTTAAAACATTAAAATGGAGCTGTACATTGATATAATTAAGTGTATATTCTTGCCTGTTGATTCTTTAAGTAAGTCAGGAAATTGTGAGAACCATCAAGAGCATTGCCTCAAAGGAAGATGATACCCTTCCAAACGAGAAGCACTTTGGGTTAGATCCAAAGAAACATGAGGGGAACAAGTTTATATATTAGCATTGTTTTCTGAAATACTGCTCCAACAGTAGGGGAAATCTTCATGGACTAAAGTACCTGGATCTGAATTACAGTATGAAAAACATGGTTCATGAACTTGGCTGTGCTGTGTGGGCATGCTGAATTTAGACATGAATTATGGGGAGCAGGGTGGTGTTCCATAGAGATGTTCCCCAGGCCCTTTCAGAACTTCACAGCTGTGCTTCATGGATTTCTGTACTGCAGGACTTGCTCTCCAATGCAGAACAGTTTGCACCCTAGCCATTAGGACTTGCTTTCAGTGGGGGACATCTTGTGCTATTGGGGCTTGTTTTGCAAACGTAGAAGGAATTTCAGCTATAAACTGTTAGGATAGTATCTGATGGTGTCATAGTGCTAACAATGAAGAAGTTGTGCCAGTGTTGCTTACACAAGTGCTATGACAGCATTGGCTAGATAAGGCATTGGTTCCAAAGGTGCCTTTCTTTGAATTCATTGACCTTCAATTCAACAAAAGTCTCTTTAAATGGAAGGAAAAGGGATTATTTTTGCCATTTTTCCTTGTCCTGCTATTCCTGTGCCACCCCCCATGGTGTGACAATTTTGCAGCTATGGAGTGGATTTTCAGGAGAAGCAGGAGGAATCAATAAAAAAATACCTTTCCTCTTCTATTTGTGGAAGTTGAGAGTGTTCTTTCATGAGCAGAATGCTACTTGCAGTTCCTCCGAATGCAACCCACAGAAACTAGAGTAATAGAGTAAACTGACTTGTACAAGCACTTGCGCTAAGGAAAAAACTTATCTTTTCTAGAGAAGAGTTGTTAACCCTCTCACTATTTCCACTGCATGAGTTCAGATGACATCATAAAATGCAGCTTGAATATTCATAATGGCCACCCAACAAGCAGCACAGCCCTGTGGCATAAACCGCAGTGGCTTAGTTGATCATGTGAACAGGCCAATTACCATCAATAGTACATTATCAATATATTAGCATCAAAGTTTTTGCCAACACAGCTCTTGTTAAGGGAAGTAGTGGAAATAAGATTATGAGGAATCTTCAAATACTATTTTACAAACTTTTTTTTTTGCAAAAGCTAGAATGGTATCGCTTGCCATTTCCATTTTATACTTTTCAACTTACAGATACTATACCAAAGAACAAGTGCAGTGGGCACGTTGCCATGCCAATACACTGTGAAGATGGACATCTTCGAATGGACATTCTTGAATGTTGTTGCTGTACAATCAACAGCCTGAAATATTATCCAGGAATGAATTACTCTAATATAGTCAACACTGTAGCGTTAGATGTTCAAGTAGAAAAATAAATACCTGTAATTGGGAAGTGCCGTTATGAGCTAAGTAGCCATGTACGTGCCATTCCCTGACACACCATTTATTTTTCATTTCATCATCAGGCTTTGTTCCAGTACAGTGTTACATATGTGAATGTGTATCTGCAAGATATTTTAAGTGCTAATTGTGTAAACATGACCTTGAATTAATCTGGAGAGAAGTGTGTTTGTTCTTACAAATTTCGTATAATTTTAGTCCTGAACGTCAGTGTTGATCAGTATATGGGGATTCTAATTTGGAGTATGGGGAGATAATAGGGAACAATGTGGCTTGCAAGCTGGGAACGCTAAAAAATACATTGTAGGATACCTGTGGGAAGTGTCTGTGCTTTG